AAAAAAAAAAAAAAAAAAAAGTAAAGTAAAAAAAGGATTAGGTGCACAATTCTGTTGTGCGTTTTTATGTTTGTTCCCAGGTTATCTCGGAACTTCGTCGTCTATGAACAGATTTTAAAAATCGTTTTTGCTTTGGTTTCGGTGTGTCTCACCTATGGTCCCATAATTGGATTGTTATGACATTATGGCGGGGTAACAACACTGCGATAGCTCCCGCTGCACGGATAGATTCTGCACGGGGCATAGCTGTTAACGCCCATTCATATATCTTTAGCATCTATAACATTACATACATTACACGCAATGATTAGCTTAGCACAAGTTCGTGCACAGTAAAATTTAGGTATTTATGAATGACTACCGCATTAAAAACACTTTCTGTTTTTTAGGGAATAGAGGCAAATTTGTTTGGCAAACTTTGTTTTTCATTTCATTAAACGATTATACTACCGAGTCTGAGACCTCCTGTGTAAATTTGGGCACTGCTCAAAAAATCTCCCTGTATTTACAACTTATTTCTAATAACAACCAAAATAATAGTGTGCATTATCGCCTTGTCAATGTAGTCAAATCTTGTAAGGATATATTACACACAAACAAAGCTATTTACATGCGTGTATAACATATTTGTATGGAGAGGTCCACGGGTTTTATCGCTAGGTCAAGATATCTAGGGTCAGGTCGTCGCGTGCGTATCTCCAGGTCGTTGAACCCGCCCCCGGGGGTGAGACTTGCATCCAGCGTGGAGAGATAATTTTGCCACAAGTAAAGCACACGACGCAATAAACTGTGCTCGCGATGAAAACTATCCTTATCTTTAAATGATGGTTTCTTAGCTTGTTTAGTATGGGGTTATTTAGAAATATCAAATATTTAAACTAAACAACATCTGAAAAGTTAGTCCACGGCAATTATTCGAATTTGTATTCCACGTCATTATTTATTAAACGACGAATTATTTATTAATATTATGCGAGAATTAAAGTTTTAATTAAATCAACAAAAACGCATTTGCACCAGACACTTATCTCTGTTTACGTTCCCACGTCTCCAATCCTAATGTATTCGGCGGACCTATATCTTTATCTGAACAACGAACACATATATCCTCGTAATACAAAATGGCGCAAAGAAATGGCGCACATATTTGCACCACTATTATATCTATATATTTATAAAAAAACTTGTATACAAGTACATATACATACAAGATCTGTTTAATTATTATTTACACGTCTAACGCCCGGTTTCTGAAACTGACCATCGTAAAAATTTACTAATCGGCTGTCAAATGGATTTTCAAATGTCATTTGAGTTGCCAAAAGGATGGTTTAACCCTTTGAATTGACCAGTAAGATCTTCCTAACGATCAGAATGATCAATTCAAACAGTTGAACCATGAAACCGGGTGTAAATCGACCAAAGGAAGTCCTCAAAATTGTTTACAATATTCGGTCCATAACATTTGTCACAATATGTAAACAATTGTTGATTGAATTAGACTGAAGCAGCATGTTACTCGCTTAAATTAGACAATTCTAATTTATCAATTAGAGCACTGTGCTTCGCCATCACTAAAAGTTTAAACGAGACTTGACTTTATTTATTTTTAATTACCTGTTAATATTTTGTGTTATCTGTTGCAGTCTATTGATATAAATTCTTTTTGCGCCGAAACTACCAAATTTTTTAATGACGGAAATCGCTCAATAAGTTTACGCCAACACATTCCGTGCTCAATGAATTTGTGGCGAAATTTTATTCTTGTGTGTGTGTAGTAGTCTTGTAAAATGTCAGTACAGCACTTTAAGTACGAAGTACTTTGTATTTGTATGTGTACCTCCAGCAAGATGGACAAACTAAAAGGCTTACCACCTTCTTAAGAAAAAACGAAAGGAAGCGAAAAGTTTAGAGGTCTTAAAGCGATCCGGTTGACACACATGTATACAGCAATTTTCGAATGGAACGTCGAAAATTGTATCCGAAAATAAAAACACCTTTTCGCCTTTGTAATCGATTTCGAAATAATTTGCGTGAAATTCTTTGATTGTACGAGCGTGTAAGAGTCGATCATTGAAATGAATAACATTATTATTAAATTATCTAATTTGATGAACGATGCACAGAACATGTAATCTGTTACAGGTTCTTCCATCCGTTCCATACAAAGTATAGAAAAAATAAGTAGGTATCTGTTATCCTTAAGTTATATATTTGAAAATATAAAACTCTAGTTGCTACCCAGACTACAAGAACTGTGTACCTTGTGTACAAAACAAAACCGATCTCTGACAATATGTTTTTTATTTTATTTTGATAAGTAATGTATTTTCGTAGTTCAAGATCCAAAGCCAATCAATTACTAATTGACCTCATGGGAGATAAACCGAACACAATACAAAACCAAAATTCTAGGGTAAAACAAACATGAAAAAAAAAAATACAATCGAATTGAGAATCTCCTTTTTTGAATAATAATTTATATTTAAAAAATAAATATATATACAATATGACCAGACTTGCTTGCCAGTACTTTTCTGGATTGTTCTAAATTTCCTTAATCTTAAGAGAGGCTAAAATACATTAGTACTTGATTAATTCTTGAACTAACAATGACGTTTCAAAGTTGAACAAGTTATGTACCATTCGACATGACTAAGAATTTTAAAGTATAGTAATAATTAAAATACTTTAAAGAACAAATGTATTTGATATCATAATACTAGGAAGTAGCGCGCGAACTGCTATTTATAATAAAATGACAATTCTACAGCAATCGGGTTACAGATTCTTATCCTTTAAACGAGCAATTCTTGTATATATATATATTTAATCGGAATCTCGGAAACGGCTCCAGCGATTTTTATGAAATTTAGTATGTGCATAGATTCGGGGGCGAAAAATCGATCTAGCTAGGTTTCATTTTTAGAAAATGTCCTTCTATCCCTGTTTTCAGGGAATGAAAAATATAATTCGAATATGACGGTAAATTTCGCCGCAAGAAAAAATGTCAAAATAGCTCTGTCGGTAATCGGGCGGCCCCAAAACAGACGGCCGTGGTTTCGCGTCACGATCATTTACACATTTATTTTTTACTTTTTTTTCGATTCCAGATCATTGCCTTCTTTATTTTTAATTTTTTGTCGATTTGTTATTTTGTTATTTTTTTCCCTTTTTTTTAAAGTTCTTTCTATTGTGAAAAACATCAGTTCATATTTTCTTATTATTACGTCGGTAAGATCGAAAAATATTATGCATATTTCATTACTCAGTAATTTGTATCTAAATGTAATTTCCAAAATACACGATTTACCAAAAAAAAAAACAAACCGAGCAAAGCTCCGGTCCTCCGGGTACTTATAAATTATCTACCATTACTATGTATTAAAACAATCATAACAACAATATATATCGAAGGGGACATAACGGAATATGAAAGGTATTGTATCTTTATTCTTTTTCAAAATATTATAATGTATGTAACGTTTTAGCCAGGTTTTTTAATCTTCTAAATTTTATTAATATTTTAACATTTCAGTCATTGAAATTTTTTAGTTTTTTTTATTTACAAAAACCATTGGTCTATCATCCCGTGGAAAGCTGAAGGACGCAATTAATTTTGGTGATGCATTAATTAACACAAATTGGAATCATTTATGATAATTAATTAATATTAATAAAATAAGTCTCGGTCACTCTGTGACTTCCGTCACCGCTTTTTTTTATTTTAAGTGCTGTAAAGATATCCGACGACAATAATAACAGTTATATTTTATAATCTTTCCCGAGATGATTCTAAGGAATAATTCTTTCATTTATTGCGTAATAATTGAAATCGAGAAACAAACTAGGTACTTCCTTTGTACTTCACTCGTGCTAATTTTGTTTTTCGTAACACACCGAACCTACTCCGAATGATTGCATTGAAATAATTAATCAATATATATAAATAAAAGATTTTGACCTAGCTCCAACTTTATTATTGAATAATTCGTATATTTCATTTACTCTAGCAACCTTAATTCAAGTCCCGGTGCCGGCACTAATGAATTTGTTAATTGCAATTTTAAATGCTGACATATTATCAAGTGCTCAGCGGTGAAGGAAATAAGTGAAGGAAAAAATCGTGAGAAAACCTCGTGATTTTCGAAATTATGACAAAGAAATACGTATATCTATAATATCATATCATCGATATACGTATTTATGTGAAATGTGCTAATCTGCAGTGGGATCGCATGGTGGATAAGTTCCTAAGAATATCCATATGCCATAATATCCTATGTACGGAGGGCTTATCCGGCAGTGGGATAAACAGTTACTTGACTTTTATTCATATATTCAGTAGCGCTGTAACTGTCATTAATAAAATATGTTGTACGACCTACTATAAAAACATAGTTTGAAAATCAATGTATTAACGTAAGAAGCAGGAAGCAGCACTGTAAGCCGAGAGTAAAAGCTGTCAACCAAACGACTACACAAATAGCTTACTAGCTTGGCTTGAAAATAAAGCAAACAACCTACACATGTCGCACTAATGGGCGCGACCTCAACCTCACTGCGATTGGCATGTTAGGTGACCTCGCGATGTTTTCCTTCACCGCTGAGCACTTGATAAATCAGCACGCAAAATGACAATATTAACAATGTCATCGGTGCTATACCTTGCACCTAGATTTGAAGTCATGTTGCTCGAATATACTAAATTAGAAGCGTACGCCCGGACACAAATATCACGGCTCCCACAGCGTAAACGATTAGCATATAAATCACAGCCGCAAACATCACTCGTGTACACAATGGTAATGATACATAAATATGGAGGCATGAGCGACAAAGAAAGCTGGGAGACATTTATTCATTCGGACCGAGACGGAATAATTCAAATCGGTGCGTCGGGGGCGCGACGATATGAGCCGTAAGGTCCTCGCGATAAGCTTTAGGCGGCGCGGCTCGGATTAGCGTTTGAATACAAAGCGTTGCGCCATCGGCGATGCATGTATGCACCGTGCAGCCGCATCCTGCCCCCATCAGTATTCGGGCAAGGCACCCGGACACGGCGGTCCGCCTCCGACGCGACGCTATCTAGGAGCCCTCGAAGCATTGAATATAAATTACACGAAATTATTGCGCGGCCACACAATAATCCCGCGCCGCTCTCGACGCGCGTCGCCATTTTGAAATTCGAGCGCGGGCGGGAGCGTTCTGAAACGCGGTGCGGCGACCCCGTGACCGCGCGCACATATTAATGCGCCGACCGCCCACGGTCACGTATTAGCCGGCCGAGTTTGATCACCAAGCGGCGAGGTAAGCGTTAACGCGCAAAGGGGGCTCCGCGATTCGGCCGCATGTAGCGGTGCTGCCAGACCCGCCTCAGATGGGCTCTCGGCGTCGCAGACACGTTTATTGTTTTCGATTTACACTTTTTTCGTATTTACGATTCGAGCCGAGGTCGCAAAGCATCCGTTTCGAATATCGTTTCATTTTACGACCGCGTGTGTAGGCTAAGTTACTAAATATGTCTGGTCATACATATTAAAGTTGAACGCTCTTTCATTGCTTGCTACTGAATATGTAATCAACAAAATAGTCAGTCAGTTTGTAATCAGTCTCTTTATTATTTGTAGACACATTTTTGCAAAAGTTTTAGATCGGTTCGGTACCTATGTTCACAGATATTTTAATCTGTATTATTATATTTTTTAGGATGTTATGTTATGTCCTAATAATACACATTCGAAATAATAATAAACAATTCTAATTGCGTTTACGTTTATATAACCTAATCATCGATAAGATACAAGAGACATTAGATAAGCAGGCGGCTGTTCCGATATCTTTGCCCTTTATCAAAAATCTTCCTTTCGTGCTATTTCACGTTTTATATCCGTCTATATGTCTTACAAATAATTCCACAAAAGAAAACGACACATTAGAAACTAGATGCTAGCGCAGTGGATGAGAGCTATGCGCAACTGATACTTGCACGAGCGGCCTTGAAAAAATCAAGCCACAATTTAAAAGTCAAATATACGGTTGCGATATGCAGCCTATTGGTTCGGTATCTAATAGATATGCAGATGTATGCGCGCGAAACAACAGCGCTAAATGGCGGCGGACGGCGGCCATGTCGTGACGTCATACGCGCCGACTGCATCGCCCTCAACCTTTCACGTTAGAGGCAGGAATACATAGTACACGCTAATTTATTTATAACGTTTGTTATTACTATTATTAATATATACGAACAAACGGTTATATACTATACCAACAGTTTAAACACGAGTGCATTGACAGCTTAGTTAATTAATAAAGGTAAAACGAGACTGAACTGTCGATTGTCAGGTGCATCGCAGAAGTCGACCTCCACATATTGCAGCAACATCCGGGCCAACTTACAACGCGATAGAAGTAAGTTCAGTTATCCGATATCGCCTTTAGGTAAAAAGTGAACAATATTTTGACTGATAAACAACTAGATTCTGCGAAAAAAGTCTGAACCGTGTTGTAACTACGTGCGACTTGAATAATCGACACCTATCGATAAGTTGTCTTGGTACTCTCTGGCGGCATGAGTAGCTTAGCTAGCCAGTGTTGCCTTATCGCAAATGAAGCAATCGGGCTGTCGATATTGTTCGACTGTTGCCGAGCGCGCGCGATTATATTATGGTATTTTCGTTATTGAGTGAACGCCGCGGCCGGGGCGAGCCGGCGACCAAGGTCAACTTTACAACTGGGCCGCAACGCCACCATTGATTTCACTAGTGACGCAACCGAGACGCACCGGTGTCGGGCCGACATGCACTGTCCGCGCCTTTGTTATGTATAAGGGCCGCTCTTCACTGCAGGATATAATATTCATTACGTCCCGAGATATAAATTGCGTGTAACGATTGGCCTACGCAGATTGTATATCATTTTAATCGCTTCATCACATGTGTGGGTCAACGCGGGTGAATAGTATTTTAAATGCCATTTTTCCATAATTCAAGGGAAGCTCTTTAATTAATTAGTTGTATTCAGTTAAAGGCGAGCGGTTAGGTCGCCTGAGGTCACGTGATCAAATGTTAGTGGTGCGCAAGCCTTCTATTTTCTCCGACAAAGGTCTCGCTTCGGACTAAATATTGATGAAATGTGCCTAATGTTAGAACGTCCGACCATGTTTCAGTACATTTTGAGAAAATTACAAGTTATACTTCTGGAAAACTGGTAAGGAATAATATGTAAATAATTTCTGCTATTAATAATAGTTTTAGTAATAATAGTATTTTAACAATGTTCATCGCCAAAAGTCAAAATATAAAGCTGATGATAATGAATTATTAATTCGACGCTATGGCATTGCATTCTGTAGATGCGGGCAGCCGTCGACCCGTCCGCGAGTAGACAACAAAATGGCGCTGTACAAGTCGGAAGCATCAAACATCACTGCCTGCATACTGACTCATATAGAGTAGGGCGTAATTGCTTCAGTAGTGTACAACTGTACACTGTTCTCTCTGGCACTGCGGCGTTGTTATCTGTCTTAAAAATATGGATGTCTTTCGTCCAGGATGACGTCGTTACACTTCAGTGTTTCGGAGTATTTTTGTTTAAAAAAATTGCCCTCACTTTAGGATAACATTATCCTGTGATGTAAGGACGTTTTACAAACATAAATTTCACATGGACCAACACCCATATGCGAAACAACTATCTGTGGGTCTGACAAATAGTTGTCCCGTGTGGGAATCGAACCCCGACGCCGAAGTCAGTACTTTGGCCACTGTGCCACGGAGTCATCAAGTTCACTTCTATTAAATCACGCCCTTTTATGGTTTGGTAAGATTCTAATTTCTATAAAAATAATAAAAGTAAAATATTAATTGCCTGAAAAATATTAAATTATAATTGAGGATGTCAATCAAATATTTTATGAACTATTGGTTTCTTAAAAGGAGATGAATCACAAATAGAAAACTAATAATAATTGTGTGCGTAGTTTAGGAAAAATCGAATCACTTTCTAAATATTTTAAATATTCTAAAATTACCAATTAAATCGACCATCGTTACCTGTAACAAAAAGTATATATTATTAACATTTGTCAATTATATAATCGTTTTAATTACAAGGCTTAAACAAAAAAGCTTTAAAAAAAAGAAATGTAGATTATAATTATTAGGAAATAAAAATTGCTAATATCTCAAGGCGATCGTGCCAAATGGCGTCGTATTGTCTTTATCTGCATTCGCATGTGTCAGCGCAGAGTGTATGCTATAAACTGCGCAGTCAGAATATACATCAACGCCAAAACGCACCTACGCGTTCAGAAATTCCGTTACGATTTAAAACATCCGTTATTTGTAGTCGACGCGTAAACAATATTTTTCAAATTAAATAATAAATAAGAGGAAAGAAAAAAAAGATAAATTCCGAAATGTTAACGCGCGACTCGACTCGCACTGCCAAAGGCAACGGTCCAGATCTGTCAAAAGGCGACCGAGAATAATGGCCGCTTATTTTCGGCGGGAACAAATAGGGTTGCCATTTGTCAGGATTCCGCGCGACACGGCCAGGTGTTTTATAACGGTAATGGATTAAGAACATAGGTATATGCAGAATCATAACTGGACATTTCGAGTGAACTTTTTTTCCAGTTATAATAAAATGACAGAAGCTATTCGTGTGATTTTCGCAAGCATAGCACTATCCATCGCTTTGTATTGCGCGTATATAGCGCTCTCTCTCCCTATGTGATATTTTTCTTCTCCCTCAATTAACGAAATAGACCAAAATTTCACTCCCAATTATCCTCCAATTATCGAATCGCTGCCTAAGACGTTCCATATTTACTTCAAATATGCACTATCGGTGTTAGATCTTGTACAGTGCATGTAAAGATATCTCACGGTATTTAGAGATTGACGTGGCCTTATCCGTGTCATCTAACGAAGTAAATGGAATTCCTTGTTACCAGTAATTGGATGTCCGGTTTTCTCGCTAACATACGGAACACGACGGCGCGCCGCGACTGTCGCGTCACTACTTTTGTCACGATGCTACCATGCCGTCGTTTTGCCGAGTAGTTGTCTAATTAGATTGCACCATAATCGACTTCAAAAAAGGAGGAGTTTTCTCAATTCGACCGTATATATTTTTATTTTTTTTAATGTATTTTCGCGGATAACTTCGTCGTTTATGAGCCGATTTTGATGATTCTTTTTTTGTCGGAAAAGAGATATCCCAAGGGTAGTACCATAATAAGGAAACCCGGATCTGACGATGGCATCCCAGAAAAATCGAGGGCAATCATTTTATGTTATATTATATTGTATTAACAATGTTTTTAATTTTCTGATTGGTCGGTTTTTTTTTGTTAAAAATTATACCTACTTGTATGTATTACGCTTTTATTTTTATTGGCCTATTGGCTTCTCCGTCGGTGGTCCTTAGTTCGAACTCCATAGACAATAAGTATTTGTGTAAATAACGGACAATCATTCCGGATCTGGTCGATTGTTCCCCGAGAAGGTTTGCACAATGGAAAGGTGTAAAAAATCTAGTCAACACCATTAATAAAATGATACGCATGTTTCGACCGCACCTAGGTGGAATAAAGGCAAGATACTGAAAAAATATACTGTTATTTATACATAGCCAAGATCCTCATGTTTGTCCTCTAACTCGACTACTTCTGTAAACGATATTAAAACCTAGGATATTGGAACCTAGTGCATAAATAACTTCATTACGAAATTATCACCAAATTCATGATGCTTAAGCTTTAAGGTATATAAAGTTTTCGTTTAAAAAACGAAATATGCATACAGGAAGCATTTATATTTATACAAAAAAACAGAAATTTTTACATAACAAGGGTAAAGGTTTTTATTTTAAACTATATTACTAGTGAGTAATAAAGATAATATATTATTATATTGTGCTGAAAACTAAACTAAAACAAAAATAAAATAACTTTAATACGTAGCATTAAATCACCTAACGAAAAATTTTGATAGCGTGGCTTTTTCAGAAATAATATCTTAACCACAAAAAAAAAACTATAATAATAGGTAAGCAAAGTAAAATGAGAAAAAAAACTACCAAAACCAGTTTCATATTCGCCAATTGTGTACCAAACAGGTATAGATGTTGAAAGTTTTTTTTTAATGGCATTTGAACAATAGAGCGGTTGGTCGGATACGAAATTCCATTTTCGTAATTCGAATTCCGCTATTTAACGACCATTAAAAATTGTTTCTAA